ACTACGACTACTATTACTACTACCACTACTACGGCTACACCAGCACTTATTACTACCACGGGTACTACTGTTGCTACGGATGCCATTATTACTACTGCTACTACTGCTACTAAATGCTTCTTTAACCTAATTCGGCTACGACTGCGACTACGACTGCGACTACGACTACTACCACTATTGTTGCTACTACTACTACTAATACTGCTACTACTAATACTACTAATACTCGTATCACTACTACTATTACCCCTGCTATTGTTACTGTTACTGTTACTGTTACTGTTACTACTACTACTACTACTACTACTACTACTACTACTACTACTACTACTACTACTACTACTGCGACTTCTACTACTACTACTACTACTACTACTACTACTACTACTACTACTACTACTACTACTACTACTACTACTACACTACGACTACTACTACTACTACTACTACTACTACTACTACTACTACTACTACTACTACTACTACTAGCTACTACTACTACTACTACTACTACTACTACTACTACTACTACTACTACTACTACTACTACTACTACTACTACTACGACTACTACTACTACTACTACTACTACTACTACTACTAACTACTAACTACTACTACTACTACTACTACTACTACTACTATTACTACTACTACTACTACTACTACTACTACTACTACTACTACTACTACGACTACGACTACGACTACTACTACTACTACTACTACTACTACTACTACTACTACTACTACTACTACTACTACTACTACGCCACTCATAATTCTCTGTCTTTGTCGGGTATCGCAACATTCTTGCTTAGAATGCGATTCCCACGCTTACAACTACCTAGGGCCGGGGTTGTTAGGTGCCCTGCCTTTTTCGCGTAGGTGACGTTTGCAAGCACAAGCCGTGACGACGGTGCTGATGGCTGTTTCCTGGCAGCGCTAGCCATATCTCAAGCCAGGCAGAGCAAATCTTGAGCCAAAACGTTTACGGAAGGGATGAGAGTAACGGGGGGGCAAAAGAGAGAATGAGGGCATTTGGTCTAGTTCGTTGCGTTGCCCCCCTCACTCCTGTCAGGCGTGTCGGCGTTGTTTAGATGATGTTGAGGCCTGCAGTTGCCGATCGAAAGTGACATGATATGGGGTGCCGAGCGAAGGAGGAGGATAAGGAGGAAGCGGACGAAGAGAAGGATACGGAGGAACCCGAGGAGTTGGAGGTCAGAAGATGGAGAACGAGGGAGACGGCAGGAAAGGATGATAATAGTGAGTATTGGGCAGAGTGATAGCAGAGGCTGGCGTAGAAGGAGGTGATGGCGAGGAGGAGGAGGAAGAGGAGGAGGAAAAGGACAACGAGGACGTTGGATCAGAAGCTCCCGTGTCTCCGACACGGGCGGTTACCAGGCATTCGGCATTTTGATTCTTACAGCCTGCAATCATTAGCTTCTTCCTCTTCGTTCCTTTTCTTAAGCAAAAATTTATCCCTGTGGTAACCCGGGGCGGGTTTGTAGTGCGGGTCGCGCGTTTCGCCTGAGACTTTCCCACCACTAAGTTATCTGAAGTTTAAGAGTTGGCAACAGCTTCGCAGATGGAGGGCATGTGGTTTTCAAACTGTGGCTCTTGCCTCAGCGCGGCGACATTCTTTCTAAAACGTTGCAAGAGTTTCATGGGTTGAGGGCGGTTCTTTTTCAAAATGAGGCTCTCGCCTTAGCGCCTCGCACATTTGTTTACATACTTTGTAAGAGTTTCACGGGATCCCATCTTCAACGTATCAGAAAAATGCTTGGGAAGGATTCAGGATTATGCGGGTGCAACAATCACGTTGGTTCGCGGTGTTGAAGTCCCAGGAATGGCTTTCTGGCACGATTCAGGATTGTCAAGGGGCAACAGTCAGGTTGATCCGTGGCGTTGGAATCCCGAGAACAATATCTTGAGATGTTACAGGGTCTTCAAACGGGCGTTTTCCAACGAGGCAGTTCCACCAATGGAAATGAGCCGCTGTATGGGGCCTATGAAGAGGGAGCCTGGTGGGAGGGTTTGCTCTAACATCATTGAGGACTCTTGGGTTTACACTGGCCTCTGCTCCTCCCCGTCGTCCTCCTCCTATTTTCTCATTATTCTCCTCCTCCGCTCACTTCTGGTTCGTTCCCCGTGACTTCGTCTGTGCCTGGTTTCGTCAAATTACGCAGCCGCTCCGTTTTCTTTCCTCCCCACAACCTCCACTAAGCTCGTCAGCAGGGTCTTGATGTTTCGTTACGCAAACCGAACAACTACAAAGCATCCAAGTGACAACTCTGAGGCTTCCAAAGTAACAAGAAGCAGTCATATCGCAACTTGGTCGGCTATGCTCTGGGTTCCCAGGCCGAGGACCCCAACGCAGACGCAGTTGCAACATGTTTGTGCGTTGCAACATGTTTGTGGGCCTGTTTTAGGGTTCTACAGCTCCTTTATCCGACTTCTCATTTCCTGCGTCCTCTTCTTTCTCCTCTTCCCCCCCCTTCGTCCTCCTCAGCTTCCACTTCTCGTGTTTTTTTTTTTTGTAGAGGTTCAAATATGCACGGCAGTGAAGTAGCACAAGGAACAATGACCAGCGACCAGCAGACACGTCGCAACGCAGCATTCAAGTAGCACAGCACGCAACATAGGACAATGCAACACTCACACACATGGCGCCACACAACACCTTAGTGACGACTACTACTACTACTACTACTACTACTACTACTACTACTACTACTACTACTACTACTACTACTACTACTACAACTACTACAACTACTACTACTGCTACGTCTACTACGACTGCTACTAGTACTAGTACTACCACGACTACTACTACTACTACTACTACTACTACTACTACTACTACTACTACTACTACTACTACTACTACTACTACTACGACTACTACTACTACTACTACTACTACTACTACTACTACTGCCACGACTTCTATTCTTATGCTTATTACAAGTACTAGTCTGACTACGCTCGCTACTACTATTATCGGAAGCATTACTACTACTACTACTACTGCTACTATTACTACTACTATCACTACTACGACTACTACTAGTACTGTTGCTACTACGACCACGACTATTTTGCTTATTAGTAGCAGTATTACGGCTACGACTATTATTTTCAATTTCAATACTTCCTCTACTACTACTACTACGACTTTGTCCACTACTACTACTACTACTACTACTACTACTACTACTACTACTACTATGGCGACCACGACGACTACTACTACGACTACTACTTATTATTCTTCGTATGCTACCACTTACAACTACGAGTATGATTATCACGTTTCCGATTTCTACTGCCACCACGACGGCGTTTACTATTACCATTATTATTTCGATTACTACTACTGCTACTACTACTACTACTACTACTATTATTACTACTACTACTACTACTACTACTACGACTACTACTACGACGAGTACCTTTACTATTGTTATTAATATCACGACGATTACTACTGCTACTACTACGATTTACAGTTAGTGCTACTACTACTACTACTACTACTACTGCTACTACTACTACTACTACTACTACTAATACTACTACTACTACTACTACTACTACTGCTACTACTACTACCACTACTAGTGCGACTAGTTCTACAACTACTACTATCACGACTGCTCCTACTATTACCATTACTACAGCGACGGTGACGACGACGACGACGACTACTACTACTACTCCTACAATCCTTACTGCTACTACGACTACTACGACGACGACTACTACTTTTACTACTGCTATTGCCACTGCTACTGCTACTGCCGCTGCTACTGCGACAGTACAACGGCTATGACTACGACTACGACTACCACGATCACAACTATCATTACAATTACAGAACACTGCAACATTCTGAAAGCATTGCGGCTACTACTAGCACTACCTCCCGCACCTCTATCGCTGTCTTTGCCATTGCGATTCCCATGTTTTCTTCTGATGCTGCAACTATAAGGTCTACTCGCGTTCATCTTTGATACGCTAGATGCAATCCCAGCTCCGAAGCTTGTCTGTAATGTTGAAAACAAGTCCCTTAGCAGCTGGCCCGTAATGGTTCAGTCCTTTTCTTCCCACTCCCAGTGAGCCCGGACTCTGTGGCCCATCATGCCCCCCCACCGCTGCCCCCCATCTTGTCCCCCCCCATCGTGAACAGCGTAAAGCTGTTTAGGGTCTGCTGAAGCCAGGGTGTGATTTCAACTGGTTTGGTGGATTCTGTCTTTGAAATCTGGGGCTTCTCGGACCTTCGGACTTTTTCTCGCGGCCGCGCTTTGCGGTGGAGGCGTTGGCCGAGGCGGAACGGTTCGGGTTGCGCACAGACAGCAGCACCTGGAGGTAGTCCCGTAGCGAATGTGGAGTCGTGCGCGCGGGGCTAGCGGGGCTAGGACGGGGAGGGGGACACAGGATGAGAAGAGGGAGGACGCATTGGGAGGTGGGTCGGAGGCGCGAAGGCTTTCGAGGGTCTCTGGACGCCTCCAGAAGCAGCTTGCATCGGGAGTCTCGTCATAAGGGGACAAGGAGCGGGTGGTTGAGGAAGGGTGCACCTTTCGAGCACCCCCGGGGGGGCTCCTTTAGAGTCTCTTGCCTGCACCCCTCGATCTGCCCCCACCCCGCTGTTCGGACGACCCGCGAAACCACCCCGATCCGACCTGGAGGTCCCAAGTTCGGGAGGGAGGGAGCGTATCAATGACGCGCTGCCGTTGGGAGCCCCTTAAACTGTCGCTCCTTCGCCGTCGTCCGAAGAAATTCGATTCCTTCAACAGTAGCACGCTGATTGGTTCCCCCACGGCGGCTTGTCATCGATGCTGTTCTTGCTCCCCCACAAATTGCTCCCCCCCCCCGATACGAAACGCCCGATGGACCCCCCCCCCCCGAGGCTTTCGAAAGCCGTCGACGGCCGTCCAGGGGCCTCGGAGGGCCCTCGCGGCCGGACGGCGGCCGCCAGCCCGACGCCATAGGCGCCCTCCAAAGCGGGCAAGACGACGGCGAAGGAGGCGCGCAACCGACCGCCGTCGCAGGCGAAAGCGAAGGCCCGCGGACGGCGGACGGAGGGAGGGTGGGAAGAGGGGGAGGGAAGAGGGGGAGAGGGAGGGAGAAGAGGAGAAGGAGGAGGAGGAAAAGGAGGAGGAGGAGGAGGAGGAATGGGGAGGAGGAGGAATGGGGAGGAGGAGGAGGAGGACCAGTGTAGACCCAAGAGTCATTAATGATGTTGGAGTAAACCCTCCCTCCAAGCTCCCCTTTCGTAGGCCCCATACAACGGTTCATTTTCACTGAGGGAGCTGCCTCGTTGGAAGCCAACCATTTGAAGACCCTGAAGCATGCCAAAACACTGTTCTCGGGATTTCCACGCCACGGATCAAACTGACTGTTACGTCTTGACGGTCCTGAGTAGTGCCAGAACGCCATTCCTGGGACTTCAACACCGCGAAGCAACGTAATTGTTGCACCCGCATAATCCTGAATCCTTCCAACACACAATTTCTGGTACGCTGATCATGGGAACCCGTGAACATTATTGTAATGTTTCAAACCGATTGTGCGCGGCGCCAGGGCGAAAACCGATTTGTCTCTGACTCTTTTTCCTATGAACAAGTGGCCTCGGGAGTTTCTGAGCTGAGGAGTGCGTCACATTTGCCCGCTCTCCTGGTGCTCTCTCTCCCTCCGCGCCGAAACCGCTCCCGCTCAAGCTCTGCTCTTCAGGGGGCCCCGGCTTTCGGGCCGCGGCCGGCCGTCGGACGGCCTCTGTGGCGATCGCGTGGGCTTCGCAGTGGCCGCCTGGCTCGAAGGCTCGGGGTGACGTGCGGCTCGGGCCCAGAGCGCAACCCACCGCCGCCGGCGGCCACCTGCGGGACCCGCTCCTGGCTGGCCGCCGCCGCGGACGGCCGTGCGCCCAGCCTGGCTCCAGCGGCCCGCCGTGCAGCCCGTCCCGGAGGAGCGGGCCGGGCTGGTGGGCGGCCGCCGCTGTCCTGGCCGCTGGCCTCGTGGTCGGCGGGGGCGGGCTCGCGCGGCGCGGGGCGCGGCCAGCTGGACTGCGGTGCGCGCCGGCGGCCTGTCGTGGCGGCGCCGGGACGCTGCGGCCACCCCCCGCCCTGGTCGTGGAGGGCGACGGGCTTCAGCAGGAGGGAACGCGGCGGGACTTCCGCGCGGTGCGCGCGTGAGCTGGCTCGCTGTCGTCATGGCGCAGCTGACCCTGGACGACCTCGAGTCTCAGGTGCGTGTTTGTGTGTGTGTGTGTGTGTGTGTCACCTTCGACGATGACGGGTACTTCAGATCGGTTGTTGCTCGTGCAAGTGGGTCTCAGGCGTGCTCGCCAACACGGACGGCGAGGCCTTCGTTTTGGATCTCAACGTGGACACGGTCACGGCCATCCGACGCGTGGCGGCGTTCCTGGCTCAGGTCCGCGGTCTGGTTTACGCGCTCGGGGAGTGGAGCGACGAGGACATCGAGGCGCTGAGGGTGGATGCCCGTGGGCTGGCGGCCGACAGTGGCGCCCAGGGGCCCACCACCGCCCGAGGCGCCGCTGTGCCTCGCTGGATCGTCTCGGACGTCTACCTCGTGGTTGCCCCCGAGCGGCTGGCCGGCCGCGACATGGTCGCGATCGCCATGGTCAGCGCGGAGGAGGGCTGGATCTCGGTCGGGAACGTGCAGAAGGCTATCTCGAGGCTGAACTCGTTCGACGGCGACGGCCGGCCCTTCCGAGGGCCGAAGGCGTTCCCCGAGCTGCGGGCCGCTGCCGGCGCGACGGGCCTCGACCTCGCCTCGAGCTGTGTGTACTGGGTCTCGCAGTCGGAGGTGTCGTGGGATGCGTCGGTGGCGCAGGACGTGAAGCACGTGCAGAGCGCGCTGCGCCATGCTGGGACGTACAACCTCGTGGGCCCGTCCAGCCCGGCATCGCTGGAGCCGCTGGGCCGTCGAGTGCTGCAGACCCAGCGGGCCGTGAAGAGGTGCCTGGGCCGCCCGAGCTTCGAGGGGCCCGGGCTGGTGCGGGACTGTTCTCTGTGCGAGAACGGGCGGGCCGTGGCGTCAAAGTTCAGCGCGTCCGCGGCCAGGGGGCAGAAGTCACAGGGCATCATTCACACGCAGGAGCGCCTGCACCGCGAAAGGCAGGAGTTCAAGGTGAAGAAGTATGAGATGCAGAGCGACGACGAGGAGAGGGGCGCCCAGGCGGAGTCGAAGGCCAAGGCGAAGCCGAAGGCCATGTCCGCCGGGGAGGATCAGGGCTGACGGCGCCATGTCGGCGCCACCTTGGCTGGGCTCTCCGCCTGGCCTCGCCCGGCCTGGCCCTGGCCGCCGGCCATCCCTCCGAGAGGGGTCCTCCTCCGAGGGTCTGACTACTTTCTCAGTTTTTGTGTCCTCTGCCACAGGGCAACGAGTTCTTTCGGCGCCATCATCGTGGAGAGCGTGCCGCTTTGCTTCGGTATCTGCCCAGCGTGCTGCTCGTGCTGATGATCGCGATCTCGGGTCTCTCGAGGCTCTGGGGGCGCTCAACGCTTTGGCGGCCGCGCGGACTGGGGGGCGTCTCGAGTCTCGAGCGTCCGGCAGGCATCGGCCGACTACCGCCCAGGAGTCCGTCATCAAGCGAGTCCGACGTCGCGTCCGCGGCTTCGGTGATCGCCGGAAGGACATGGACTACGCTGAAGCCTCCAGGGAGCTCCTCGAGCGCAAGGGTCTTTACTCGAATATGGGCGAGGCCACGACTCGCAGTGACTACGATGCAGATAAGTTCAACGTGCTGCGACGGCCACCTGGTGAACGGCCTCGCCGGCTGCGTGTCGTCGCCCTCGGCATGTCTCCGAGACGCTGGATCATTTCGATTCGGGCGTCGTTTGGCCCAGGCTCAATATCCCCGAGGATGAGACCATCGCCGAGCCTTGTTGGGACCCTCTCCTTAACCTTCGTGACCCCCGCAACCGACCGCGGCTGGTCGACTTCCTTCAGCGACTGGCTGAGCGTGGTTGTGTGGACAGTCGGGAACGGCGGAATGCGTGCGTCAGTACCTTCTTTGTCGCCGAGAAGAACGGGGACATTCGCGTGGTCGTTGACGCGCGCCAGGCCAACCAGCTGCACAAAATTTCACCTCGGACCGTACTGGCGTCTGGGGAGGCCCTCGGCTCCATCAACTTGCTCGACGCCGTCGTTGCGACCCCCGAGGACTTGGCTGACTTCGATGGCTTCTACGACTCGCTGTGCGCAGGCTCAATCGATCTCATGGACGGGTTCTACCAGCGCCGACCCGTCTTGGGGTAGCTGGATGTGCTTCGACATAGATGTCACCGCCGACGAGCTCGGGCTCGACTCGATCTACGACGAGAAGCTGCGCCGCCACGTGGCCGTCGACGGCGATCGGGTCATCTGGCCTTGCTTCGCGGCTCTGCCGGTGGGCTGGATCTGGGCATTCTGGATCTGCCACGAGGTTCTCGTCGACGCTATGGACGAGGCGGGCCTCCCGGGCGACGGTTGGTGCCTTAACGAGGCTCGTGCCCCGACCCTGGTCGGGCAGGACGTCGTCAGGGCGCCGTGCGTCGACAACGACTGACGGAACACCACTGATTTTGGCATCTCGGGGCCCTCCTGGAGGGCCTCTTGGAGCCCTCTTGGGGCGTCTTGGGCACCTCTTGGGCCGTATTGGGGCCAGTTCGGGCGTCTTGGAGCGCTGCCGGGCCGTCTTGGATGCCTCTTGGGTTCTCACGGGGACTGTTTGGGGCCTTCCTGGCCCGCACAGGGGCCCTCGGGCTTCTGGGGCAGGGCAGTCGTGCGAGGAAGTTTGGGAGGGTGCGGGAGCGACCGGGAGGTTTGAGATTTTGGGCTGCCTGCCCCTATTTACAATCGAAGAAAGAAAACTTTTGGTGCGCCGCGCGGATTTCTTGGATCCGCGCTGGGGCCTCCTTGGCGGCGCTTCTGGCGCCACCCGTGGCGCGCTCCGCGCGCCAGGAAGGGTGGCCCAGCGCGGATCCCAGAAATCCGCGCGGAGCGCCAACCATTAATGGTAATGCCGTTTCTTCTTCTTCTTCTTCTTCGTCGTTTTTTTTTTGTTTTTTTTTTTTTGTGTGTTTATCCTCTTCTTCTTTTACTAACAACTGGGGCTATCCTGATTTTTCCCGGGGCCATTTTGACCGTCATGAGGAGGCAGGGACAGGGGACCCCCGGTGGGGGCGACGAGCGAACGAACGAACGAACGAACGAACGAACGATTATCATCAAAGGGCTCCGAGCTCAAGGGCGCAGCTGTGCAAGATAGTGTAGGGTTCCGCGGCCCAGCGGCCCAAAACGGACGAGGCCATGGAGGGCATATGGGGGGAGGACGACTTGGAACGACAGTGACAGGTGCTGCGGCCCAGGGGTGGGGGCGGGGCCTGTGGGGGGCCAGGGGGCGGGCTCCGCGGCCCAGCCCCGAAAAGGGAGGGCGCCACGGAGACCCAAGGGGGGAGGACGAACGGCAGGGAAGATGCGGAGGTCCGCGGCGCAGGGGGGCGGGGGTCACGAGGGGGGGGCAGGGGCGGGCTCCGCGGTCTGAGAGGGAGGCGGCCCAGAGAGGCCACGGGGCCAGGGGGACGAACGACCAGGGTGGGCTCCGCGGCCCAGAAGGACAGATGCCAGGCGGGCCACAGGGCGGGAGGACGAACGAGAACGCAAGACAAACGGTTCTGCGGCCCATGGGCGGGGGCGGCTCCAAGAAGGGGCCAGGTGCGGGCCCGGCGGCCCAGAAGGCAGGAGGCCAGGGATGCACACGGGGGGAAACCGTCGACTTCGAAGGGGCTCCGCGGTCCAGAAGGGAAGGAGGAGCCAGGTGAGGGCTCCGCGGCCCAGGAGGGAGGAGGGAGGCGGCCCAGCCAAGGGCGGGCTCCGCGGCCCAGCAGCCCAGAACGGACGGGGCCAGGTACCCAGAGGGGGTCGGGGCGGAGCCAGGGGTGGGCTCCGCGGCCCAGAAGGGAAATTGCCCAGCCAAGGGCGGGCCCCCCCTCCTCTCCCTCCCTCCTCCCTCCTTCCCCTGCCCCGCTTCTCCTCACATCCTCCCTCCCCTCCTCCCTCCCCGTCGTCCTTTTGAGGCGAAGTCATTCGGCATCAAGGGCCTTGGAACTCTCAGAACTGATTTCCGAGAGCGGCGAGGGTGAAGATGTCACACGCCGCATGCGCGACCCGATGCGCAAGCTGGGCCTCGACGGCCTCTGTTCTGCATTCTCCTCCTTCTCCTCCCTTCCCCCCTCCCTTGCCCCCTCCTCCTCCTCCTCCTCCTCCTCCTCCTCCTACTCCTCCTCCTCCTCCTCCTCCTCCTCCTCCTCCTCCTCCTCCTCCTCCCTTCCCCCCTCCTTCCCTTCTCCCTCCGTCTCTTTTTCCTCGCAGTGGCTGCAGCCTGGCGCACGAGCGCGAGCTCCCGCCCGCCCCCTCCTCCTCCTCCTCCTCCTCCTCCTCCTCCTCCTCCTCCTCCCCCTCCTCCTCCTCCTCCCCCTCGCACCCCGCCGCCGCCGCGTAGGCCAAGGCGAAGGGGCCCGGCGGCGCCTGGACCGAGAAGAGGAGCCTCCTCCATCGAGCGGAGGAGGAGGGGGGAGGAGAGGAGGAGGAGGAGGAGGAGGAGGAGGAGGAGGAGGAGGAGGAGGAGGAGGAGGAGGAGGAGGACGAGGAGGAGGAGGAGAAGGAGGAGGAGGAGGAGGAGAAGGAGGGGGAGGAGGAGGAGGAGGAGGAGGAGGAGGAGGAGGAGGATGAGGAGGAGGAGGAGGAGGACGAGGGAAGCGCAATCATTGATCCAGGCGCGTGGATCAAAGAATCGGCGCGCTCCAGTGCCTAACCAGGCGGCACTTGCCCTACTCCACATTAGCGTTTGCGTCAGAGGATGGGGTGGGACGAGCATGGGGTCTTTGTAGGCCCTGGACGGATGCTGAACCTTGAACCTTTCGGCTCCTTTTTGGGGCCTCCATTGCGCCCTCGCCGCCAAGTCACCCCTTGGTATTCAGGTCTCACCGCTCTCCAGGAGAGGTCCGCGAACCGAGTGCCAGAAGGGGTGACCCAGACCTCGGGCGCCACGAAACGTAAACATGGCAGCAGCTTTCTCTTGCAGTTTCAAGTCGCACGCGCGCGCAATCCTGAGGATGGGCTCGAACGCTCTTGGGGCCCAGGTTGCGGAACAAAAGCACGACGCCAGAGGTCCGGGTGTTCTTGCTCCTCCTGCTCCTTCCGCACCTGCCTCACGTCCTGCTCCGTGCGACTTTCTCAGATAGCTCGGTTCTCGATGCTCCTCTCGTCCTCCTTCCCCCTTCCTCCCTGTCCTCCTTCTCCTGCTGCTTCTCCTGGTGCGGTTGCTGCTGCTGCTGCTTCTCCTCCTGCTAATCCCGGTTCTACTGCTCTTCCTCCAGGTGGTGGCGCTGCTGGTGCTTCTCCTCATTGCCTATTCTTCTGAGGCGGGAAGAGAGAAAACAGCAGCAGCAATGTGAGAAATTCGAGGAGTAACGGGAAGGTGCGGAGGCGGCGTATTTGTTGCGTCCAAAACCCGCATAGCGGGGCAGTGTAAGCCGCGTGAGAAGCTTGTGGGATACGCTTGCAAGGACGCTTGAAAGGAGGTCCTGGAGCTTGCAAGCTTGAAAAGGAGCTTCGGAGGAGCCCAGGACGGGCTTCGAAGGAGCTGCGGCACGTCTTGCCGCAAACGTATTGGGAGCGAGTCGGGAAAAGCTTCCGAAACCCGCGTCAAGTTCAAGCAAGCTTCGCTGGGGATTTCTGCTGGAAGCTGGAACGAGCTCCGGGGCTACCCTTGCCTGCTGGCTTCTAGTCTGAAGCCCTTTTTGCTCTCAGAGAGCTATCTGGGACTGAAGCGGCGGAGGAGGAGGGGGAGGAGGAGGAGGAGGAGGAGGAGGAGGAGGAGGAGGAGGAGGAAGAGGAGGAGTGGTGGAGCTGGGGGCGGAGGCGGAGGATGAGGAGGGCGGAAGAGAATGACAATGAGGAGGAGGAGGAGGAGGAGGAGGAGGAGGAGGAGGAGGAGGAGAAGACGAAGGAGGAGGAGGACGAGGAGGAGGAGCCTAGGCTTCTGACGGTGTTCCTAGGTTCGGGTATCCATTGGTTTGTTTCGAGGCACAGGGCTTTCGCAAACACGACCCACGTTGCGGCGTCGATAAGATATGTAGTTTGCATAGTGCGGGAAGTCCGCGCAGAGGGAAGGGTCCATCTGGCTGGGGCAAGCAGGAGGCGGAGACGGACGGAGAAGGAGGGCGAGGAGGCGTGGGGCAGCTGGGGAGGCAGAGGAGACTAGTCGAAGGCACACCAGTTGGGGCACACCTGAGCAAGATAATGATGATTAGGACGATGACGATTCTGAGCATGAGAGGGATGATGAATATGAAGGGAAATACTCGGAGGAGCCGGAGGAAGAGGAGGAGGGTGAGGAGTAGCAGGACGTTGCATGTTGAGGAGGAGGAGGAGGAGGAGGAGGAGGAGGGGGAGGGGGAGGGGTGGAGGACGAGGGAATCCGCGAATATGGTTTGCAACAGGAGGAGGAAGAGGAAGATCCCTCTTCTCGTCAATGTGTGTTCACCGTGTCTGTGGTTCCGCGCAAGCTTGCCTGGGCTCTAGCCGCATAGCAGGCGGTGAGGTCGTACAGCATCTGATCGTTCAGAGTTCTCTTCTGATTGTTTTGTCAGACGGCTGGCCCAGGTGTCGTAGGCGAATCTTCTCTCAGGCCACGATGGGCCAGACACCGGGGGGGGAGCGCACCGATGTGCACCGTCGCAGCGAATGTACGGGCGGGCGGGCATTGGGGGGGTGCCCTCCGACGTCGGCAATACAGTTTCTAGCTTCTTGCTGCGCTGGTGGATGGTTTCGGCTCTCGGAAGTCTGACGACATCACGGCTACAGTCTATGTTCTCATTGGCACGTGAGCTTCGCATTATGTTTTCCCACTGTTGTGCGGGCGCGCCTCCCGTTTTGGTAGCCACTGCTCGCCCGCTTTTCGGTGTACAGTCGGGGCGCTAAACAATGAACCTTTTGCGTTGGGGAGGGGCTCGGTGTTCCTTGATTGTTTCACAGTTTGCCTTAGGCTTTCCTTAGGTTTTCGAAGGTAAAATCGAAGTTGAACTTGTGGGAAAAGGGGCCTCGTTCCTTATTTAGGGTTCCTTAGGTCAACGCCCCGACTGTATGGGTCTGGGAGCCGCCTTGACCGAGCACTCTGGGGGCACCCCGGGAGGCCTTCTGCCATCCCGGCCAGGATGAGTCGGTCGGCGGCCAGCGTATGGCCCTTGCGACGCTGATTGGGTCCTCTTGGGGGCTGTTTGGTCTGGGGCGCGCCTTTGGGGTACTCTGATATTTGTTGTAGTCGCTTGGGGGGCAGCATGGTGACAGTCAGCAACTCATTGAGCAACTACATGCTTTTCACCGTGTTCGTCCTCTCGAGGGCATCGGGGAGTGCCTCTTGCAAGTCTATCGGCCCCGCTGGAGGCCTCCTGGGGACATCTTTGAGACCTGCTGTGGCTTTGTTGGGGGCGGTTGCTGTTCTCTCGCGCTCTCCCCAGGCGTCTGCTGAGGTCTTGGAGCCGCCTGGAAAATTCTTAGCGTCGTCCTGGGGCCGTGCGGGAATGTCCAGTCGTGAGCCTCAAAAGAGCGCCAGAGAACAAAGGGCAGGGGCGAATAATCCCTGACGGTGACTTCGCTTTTACATTTGCTAGATCGCTTGGGAGCATGGTGGCGGATGGAATCGAACAGCCACATCGAAAGAAACCACCGGACATTCAAGAAGTATGATCAGACCATCCAGGAACCATGGAGGCACGCTGGACGGACGCGGAAGAACATGGGGCGTGCAGCCGCGCTCTCGGAACACCCTCTGACATTTTGAAAGCAATTTGGACTCAGGATGTCCTTGAAGGTAAGAATCCCAGGCATTTCGCTGAGGTAGCCTCGGGTCTTCCCAGACACCTCGCCGGCTGGAATGCTTCCTGTGAGACCCCCCTTGCGCAATACAACAGGGATTGAATCTATGGGTATGCCACTGTGCTTTCGAAGCGTGAGCTTAAACGCATAAGGCCTATGGTCCTTCTCCTGGGCGGAACGGCCCAGATTACGCACATCGTCTTGTGTGCAGAATTGCATAATCTTTGAAGATGCTGCATGAGACGGAGAACCGCATCGGCAATGCACCAGCCGACCACCGTCTTTTCCCTGCGCCTCTGATCGATCGCCTTCCGATCCCACGTCTGCATTGTCATGTCTGCGTCGTCCGTTGCCTGGAGGAGCGAGAAGGGCGGGGTCATGCAGGAGCTCAAGATTCAGGCGCGCGAGCCTGCGCAACAAACCGCTCTGCGCTTCTGTAGGGCCAAGCCGTCGCGAGGGGGACAGTCATACCTGGTGCGGGAAACTGGAATGGATCGCTCCTGCACGTGTGTGCGTGCATGCGCACGGGCATGCGTCCGTGTGTGCGTGCAAGACAGGGCGAACCCTCAGTCGTGCCATAGCATCGACCCTGGGACTTCAACACACTCCTGGAATTTCAACCCTACGAGTTTTTTGAAGCTGTTGCCAACTTTGGAAGGAAAAGAGTGTGCGCGGCGCCGACGCGAGAGCCAAACTTTGGAGAGGAGCCGCCACCCATCCTTAAGACGAGTGTGTGCGGCGCCAAGGCGAGAGCCTCCTGTTGAAAAGAACCGTCTTCCATTTTTGAAACTGCTGCAATCTTGACGCACGAATGTGCACGGCGCTGAGGCGGGAGCAAGATGTTGAAAGTTACCTGGCCTGAAACCTTGAAACTGCCTCGTTTGTTTCAAACCAGTGTGTGCGCGGTGCTCTGGCGAGAGCCACGTTTTAAAAGCCACCCGCCCTCCATCCTCGAAGCTGTTACAAATACCGAGCTCAGGATGATCACAAATGGTGAGGAAGTCTCAGGCGAAACAACCGGCCCGCTCTACCGTCACGTCTGGGGGCGAGACAGGGAGGCGTTGTCTTACTAAGGAAAAAGAGGGGGGAGGAGGAAAAGTACACGTGACAGCGGCAGCGTCAGGAGGATGAGGAATGATCCAGGAGGAGCCAACCTCGTCGTCCTCCCCGCCCATCCGAATGCCATACGGCAGGCGCCGACCTTCACCGAGGAGGACCAGTACGGCTACAGTATGCCGGCGAGGTACAAGTGCGACTCCTGCCGCGCGGTGCGCCGCGGGAGCGCTCCCCGCTGGTCCGTAGGAGGGGTGAAGACCTCTGGCTTCAGGAACACATGAGTCGATCCTGAAAGGGCCCCGCCTTCGAGGGTCGAAAGATCATGGCGACAACATCGCAGAGCGGATTTCGCTCGGAAAGGCCTGGATAGTCCTGGAGAATTTCGTTCCGGGTTCCGAGGTGACTTTCGTGCGGATTTTTTTTGGCTTGGAATGGAGACAAAACGAATCCACGCGAAATCCACTTCGTTTTTCACTCGCCGCTTTGGGTTTTGCATTGACAGAAATCCACGCAGATATCCGCTGCAGCACGTCTGCAAGGTCGGTGCAGTGAGAAGGAGTTGGCATCTCTTTCTCGGCGGAAGCTGGCGGAAGGCCGGCAGAAGCCGACGGAGGTAAAGCGAGGGCGCCTCCGCTGGCGAAAGCCCGCGGAAGGCCGGCGGAAGCCGGCGGACGTAAAAAGTGCGCCCTCAGGAGATAGCAACATTTTCGAATGCAGGGCTTCCCGAATCGGCCACACTGTGACGGCCGGTTTCTCCAAAGACAGGTTTGGTCTGGCAAAAGTTCCGGCCCAGAAGCGACCGGGGATGACAGGCATGTCCTGGGGGTGGGGTCGAGAGTTCCGGGTGCCCATGTCAAAAATGACATCAGAGGTGGGGGGGTGCGAAGGTCGGGGGCGGCAAAGAGGGGGGTGATGACTAGGGGGGGTTGGATATCATGGCGTGGGCCGTGGTATTTCCTCAGATTTCATGGCGCCTCTTCTTACTTCATTTCGTGCCTGGCCTCCCTCCCCCTGTCCGCGCACACGCCGCCGGCCATGATTTGCGCCCCCCCCCCTTGGACGCCGCCCTCTTGCACGCCCCTCTCCTGGCCGCCCCCGAGGAGAGGGGGAGGCGTTGACCGTGGCGGGCGCCTGCGAGGCTGCCTGCCTTTCGGGAGCGAGCGGGGGGCTCTGCAGGCGCCCGCTGCGTGCGGTCGCCACCCGCACGACCGGGCCGCGGACCTCTGCAGCTGTGACCATATGGGCTATCCTTACATCGGGCCTGTCGCTCTCCAGGAGGAATATTCAAGAATAGTCAACAAAAGTAGTCAGGGGACGATTCTTTGATTATTGTCGACTTTTTTTAAATTAGTTGTTTTGCATTGTTCGTCTTATTTTGATTTTTTCGTCAAACATCCGCCTGTAGGGGGGCATTCCCGACCTAAGGCTATCCAGACTGCCGGTGGCTGCGGACAGGGGGAGAGGAGGGAATAATAGTAGTAGAAAAAAGAGGAGGGCTCATGCAATGCACGGCAAGGAAGGCCCAGTCCCACCCGACCGCTACCCGAAACAAGTTATCGGAAAACGCACATGCGGAATTGGTCAATCAGAGGTGAGAAGGGCGGGGCAGGATAGCCACACCATCTTGCACGTGCAGCTAGTTGGGCACCTCGGAAGCGAAGTGGCATACGAACGAATGGTGGAGGTGATTGAGGGGAAAGGCTGAGGTGCTGTGGAGCGCTTACCAACCCGTCAGCTGGGAATGGTTTGTGATCAGAAGAGATGTGAGGAGCGCGGGAAAACCTCACACCTAAGCGAAGACCGAGTACATCGCGCGTGGCCGAATGATCAAGTACATAGCACATCGGCAGGCACACATACCTGAACTCGGTGAGGGGATGAGCGTCTCCTCCGGACTGCGACACAGTGCCTCCATCGGGCGGTCGAGTGATGGTGGACGTTATCCAGCTGCCTCCTGCAATTCCACCACAGTGCCAGCGCAGCATTTTGGGCGGCAGCTACTCAAGAAGGCAAGGGGGCCTGCTGGGAGCCTCTGGGGGCAGAAGGCTCGAAACTTGGCTCTTGTTCCCACTCTTGGGCCCTTCTTGGGGCCGTCATTGGGCCTTATTAGGCATTCTTGGGCGCCTCTTGGGCCGTCTTGGAGTCCTTTGGGGCGGTCTTGGAGCTCTCTTGGGGGCCTCTCGAGCCATCTCGGGGGTGTCTTGGGGGCCTCTTGGGCCGTCTTGGAGCGTCGGAAATCCGTAAAAGCGAGCACCCACAAAGCATGACAAAAAGCTACATATAGATAATTATTGTTTTTTGCCGTTCGGGGCCCTTTGGGGGGCCTCTTTTGGCCCTCTTGGGGCCTCCAGAGCCCTCTTGGGGCGGAAGGCTTTTATTGTCGATTCGTGTTCACCCTCTTGGGTCCCCTTTGGGGTCCGTTTGGGGACCCTGTTGGGCATGCTTGGAAGCCTCTTGGGCCGTTTTGGAGCCCTTTTGGGCCGTCTTGGGGCCATCTCGGGCGCCTTGGACCGATCATTCGTCGATTCGGGGCCCTCTTGAACCGTCTTGGAGGCCTCGTGAGACGCTCTTGGCCCACCTTGGGCCGCCTTGGGCCCGAACAGGTCACGCGGGAAGACGCTGGGAGCCCTGGGGGGGCACGCGACAAGCCCCAGGAGATTTGGGAATTTGGGGTTCGGGCTCCTGAAGGAATCTCCAGGGCTGAGGGCGGAGGCTCCAGGGATTCGGTCAAGAGCCTGAGGACACTCCGACTCGTGCCTCAGGGTGCGGTGGCGGATATTCAGTTGTGCTGTGATGCGTTTGTTCGGATAGGGGGGGACATAACAGGGCATGGCATACTGTGGCCGAGCAGGTAAGGACCTTTAGTATAAGCGAAGTGAACGTACCAGATCACAGTGCATCACTCACAACACACCATGCCAAACCATACCATACCACCGTGTATCCAACATTACTACAGAGACCAGTGCGCACCATATTAGAAAGAGCGTGTTCTACCGCTGCTGGCGGAAAACCGGGGGGGGGGTCACTACTGGTTCGAACCCCTCCCCCCCCCCCCACCGGAAAACCGGGGGGGGTCACTACCAGTTCGAACCCCTCCCCCCACCCCCCAGTTCATCATGAAAAGGGGAAAAGGGGGGGGGTCACTACCGGTTCGAACCCCCCCCCCCCTCGAACTCGAAAACCGGGGGGGGTCACTACCGGTTCGACCACCCCCCCCCCCGAAAACCGAGGGGGGGTGCGGACAGTGGTGGGGACGGTGGTGGTGGGGACAGTGGTGAGGGGACAGCGGGACAGTGGTGGGGACAGTGGGACAGTGGTGGGGACGGTAGTGGTGGGGACAATGGTGAGGACAATGGTGGGAACAGTGGGGACAGTGGGACAGTGGTGGGGACGGTGGTGGTGGGGACAGTGGTGTGGGGACAGTGGGAATGTGGTGGAAACAGTAGGACAGTGGAGGGTACAGTGGTGGTGGGGACAGTGGTGAAGGCGGTGGCGAGGACGGCGGTGGGACAATGGGACAGAGGTACAGTGGGGACAGTGGTGGGGACAGTGGGGACAGTGGTGGGAACAGTGGGACAGCTCAGTGGGACAGCGGAGGAGTCAGTGGGACAGTGGGGACAGTGGGGATAGTCGGGCAGTGGTTGGGGCCGTGGAGAAAGTTGGGAGAGTGGAACCGTGGTGGGAACAGTGGTGGGGACAGTGGGGACAGTGCGACAGTGGTGGTGGCACTGGTGGGGACAGTAGGGGCGGTGGTGGAACCAGTGGTGGAGGACAGTGGTGCTGGGAACAACAGTGGGGGATGTGGTGAGGACGGTGGTAGGGACCGGGAGTCGTTTGCTGGCGGTGAGAGGGGGGGGGTGGGGAGGGGTTCGAACCGGTAGTTACCCCCCCTCCGGTTTTCGAGGGGGGGGGTCGAACGAACCGGTAGTGACCCCCCCCGGTTTTCGAGGGGGAGGGGGGGGGGGAGGGATTAGGGGAGGGGGGGGGGGGGGTTGCCCAAGGAGGGGGGGGGGTCCAGCAGGGGGGGCGGGGGGGATTTTCGGAGGGAGGGGGGGGGGACCCCCGGGTTCCGGAGGAAAGGGCGGCAATTTTCCACAGTAAAGCGGCGGTGGATCACGCTCTCTCCCATATTACAACACATACCACCATACGAACGCATCACGTAGCGTACTGCCATGTGGCATGACATACCATCGACGATGAGAAAACAGCATAACACATCATGTTCTATAATCACAGCGTAGAATGGCATACACCTCTATCACAGCGTCGTATAAACAATCATCCAGCTCAACACAACAGAGCATACATACTTTACCAGAACAAGTCGTATGCACCTATACTTTGCTATAGTTTGATGCACAGTGTCACCATTTCTCCGCCAAAGTGTTTTCTGCTTCCTTTGCCATTTGTTTCACACATCGTTTCAGTAGTCGCGCGCACCGCTGGGGGCAAGCGCCTTTCTCCCCGTCGCTACCTGACAGCGCCCCTCATCCCCATCCCGCGCCTGGCGAGCTGTGGTCGTGGAAGAGGAGGGTGGGAGAAGGCCCCCCCCTCTCCTCCCCTTTCCTCCCGTCTCCCCCCGTCGCCTGAAAGAGACGTCCGCCCCCAAACAGTCACCCGATGCGTTTGGTGACTCTTTGGGGCCGGCCAGCGTTTTTATGAGGTCAGGAGGGGGACGACGACGAGAGCTGCTCCTGGGAGGGCGGCGGTCGGAACCGTCGATGTCCGACAGCGGGCCTCGATATCTAAACGACTCGACCTTTACTTCGACAGCAGCCCTGTAGATGCCGACTGGCTGCCATATCGATCTGTCCAGACCCGCCGCAGATTTCGAGACAGGGTGTACAAGACGCAACGCAGGGTGGACATGCATCATCTCGACCATATGCCAGCTGGCCATGGCGAAGGTGTTCCAGAGAGACAGCGTGGGAGGGTATGCGATGCAGGTCTTCCATACTCCTTGACTGTCAGCCTTTGCCAGCTGTGGTAAATGGGCAAACGGCCCCCGGCCAGCCCAAGCTTAGAGCCAGCATTTGGGCGAGGAGGAGGAATAGGTGGAAGAGGATCGAGGAGGAGGAGGAGGAGGAGGTGGATGGGAAGGAGGAGGAGGAGGAGGAGGATGAAGAAGAGGAGGAGGCGAAGGAGGAGGAGGAGGAGGACGAGGAGAAAGAGGAGGAGAAGTAGCACTCGGCTCCTCCTCCTCCTCCTCCTCCTCCTCCTCCTCCTGCTCCTAACTGCGCACATACCTCGGGCCATGGGCTGCGAGCGCCCCCCCTGGGGCTGCCACGAGCGCCCCCCAGGTTGAGCCACAAAGGACGGACGCAGGCCTTGGGCTCCAGCGCCAGTCTTTCGCCAGGGACGGAGCTTCTGGCTCATGCTGATAGGGGGCACCAGCGCAGGCGAATGCTCCGCAGACGCGCAGTGCACATGAGCCGTGCGTGTCCAGTCTAATCGTACATGCCGCCCCCGAGTTTTAATACCCTCAACGTTTCTCTGACCCAGTGCCATCCTTCTGTGCAGAAGCCATGGCCTTGGACCAAGCGGCCCATGCGAATCATGTAGCAATCGCTTGCGTTCCATGCGAGACCGTTGCATCAGTGACCTAGGCTCTGGGGAAAGAAGCGGGAAGGAGTTGTAGAAAGCGAAAGAGGAGGTGGTAAGAGGAGGAGTAGAAACGGGGAGTGATGATGATGAGGATGGGGATGAGGATGAGGATGTCAAGGAGGATGGTGTTGATGATGCTGATTCTGATGATGAGGATGATGCTGTTGATGCTGATGATGCTGATGATGACGATGATGATGCTGCTGATGATGATGATGATCATGATGGTGCTGCTGCTGCTGCTGATGGTACTGCCTATTATGATGATGCTGACGATGATAAAGAGGACGGTAATGATTATGATGAGGAGGATGGGGATGTTTATGAGGATGATAATGACGATGCTGACTGTGTTGATGATGATCATGATGATGATGAGGATGTTGACGATTATGATGTTGCTGCTTCCACTGATGATGATGATGAACATGGTGACAAGGGTGATGCTGATGATGGTGATGATGCTGTTTATGATGATGCTGCTGCTGATGTTGTTGTTGATGATGATGGTCATGATGATGAAGGTGGTGATGATGATGATAATGATGAGGATGAGGACGATGATGAGCATGGTGAGGAGGATGAGGAGGAGTCTGAGGATGAGGATCAGGATGAGGATGAGGAAGGAGGAGGAAGGAGGAGGAGGAGGAGGAGGAGGAAGTGGCTTTCGTCCCTTCCCTTCCGCCTTCTCCTCCTCTTCTTCTTCTTCTTCCTCCTCCGTCCTGCTTTGCTCCTCCCTGCTCCTCTGCAGCTCCCGCTCTGTCGGGTGACATATCGGGTCAGAGGCCTCGGGGCACCTGCCGGGTATCGGCCGGAGGTGATGTTCCACCTGGACCAGGACTTGAGGAAGAGGCAGCCGAAGGGCACCAGACTGAAGGAGCGCCAGCTCTCGCGGAGAAGCAGCACGGTTGCAGGTCGATTGGTGGTTCGGTTCTTTCTCCTGCTCCTTTTCCTGCTCCTCCTCCTCCTCCTCCTTCTCCGTCTCTCTCTTTCTACAGTCGAGCATCTGATTCAGAAACTTCCTCCCGAACAGCTGGGCCAGCATTTCTTAACCAACTTGCCTGAAAGCCGGCTCGGTTTCTTGAGCACGTTCGCCCCCTCCAGCGTTAGCAATAGACATTGCCCCAGGCTTGTTTCAAGCAACTTGGGAAGGCTGGCTCAAATTTCTTGAATGATAGCTCTCTTGGTTCTATTGTCGGCTGTACATCTTCTCCTGCTCTCTCTCTCTCTCTTCCTCTCTCTCCCCCCAGACCCCCGAAGTCGTGATTTATTCACAACGTCGACCCCCAGAGGTCTGGACCCCTTCCCTGGGATCGTTTTTTTCATCCTGAGTTATTTTTTGGAGGTCCCGAGGCCCGGTAAGGGCCCCCGGAGGTCGAAAACATAGAAAAACCTCCAGTCGCGATTTTTTCACAGCACGAGGGGGTCTCGGTCTCCGCCTCCTCACCATCTCCTCCTTTTGCTCCTCCCCTCCGGACACTGGGGACGGGGCGGCCCGCCGCCGCCGCGACCCCGCCAGGCCGACCTCCCAAACCGCAGCAGGGCTGCGCAGGATATGGACCTCGGTTTAAGTCGGACATGCCCCTCTACAGGAGGAGTATTCAAGAATAGTAAGACACAGTCTGGTGACGTTTTTTTTCTGCTGCTTCTTTGATTGTTTTTGGTGATTTGTTTGTTGACTACTTTTCATTTTTTCTTACACAATCCGCCTGTCGGAGGACATGCCCGACCTAAGCCTCGGTTCCCCGCTGCCTTCCGAAGTTCACGTGCGGTGGGGGCGTTCGTTAAGGAATGCGCCCAGGAGGAGGCTTCAGACGCCGGAGGATTCCATGTCTGATAGGCGGCGGTGATCTCCATGGCCCGTCCACGATTGAAGTTCCTTTGGCCTCCAGACCTTGTATTCCTTATCCAATGGTTCCTTATCCAATGCCCTCACCGTAGTTTTCGCTTCGGATTCGTTGCGTGGAGGCCTCGGCTTACGATGATCTTCCTCGCTCTGGTTGTTTCGTTTCCTGAAGCGACCCGCTACATTACATACATCTATCGGAACTCGACGCCATTCGGCATCTGAGCCGACCAACTTTGAGGGCGCGTGGCCGAGGCCGCTGAGGCGTGCAGCGATTTACTTGCCTACTCCGACACTGTCGCGACAAATTAGTGTTCTTTCGCGCAGGATGCTGACATGTTTAGGTCGGCATATCCCTGGAGGGATATTCAAACATAGTTCCACAAGTATGGGGACTTTTTTGTATGGACTAGCTTTGAATGTTGTATGATATTGTTTTTTGTTAAAGTTGTTTCTCCAAGATGCGGTCCTTAGGTCCTTAGGTCCGGAGGAGGGGCTCTGGTGCTCGCCGTGGCCAGGAACGCCTCCTCGTTACTTTGTTAGCGTTCCTAATGGCGGCGCGATGGCTGTGTACGATGATGACCACGGGATTTGTTCGGCAGGATCGCCCCTTCGGTGCCCACAGCTGTTTGGCGCCCCCTTCCCCTGCTCCCGACCCGTCGCTCGTGCCACCCTCAGGCGAGAAGCCACGCGCGGGTTCGGGAGTGGAGGAGCCTGGCGAAGGCCCAGCCTCGCTGCGCACAGGTCACGCGTTCGAGGCTCCCCTCGGCAGACCGATGCAGGATGCTCGTGGCAGAGTGGGCCCCGGGCGTGCACCCCGAGAGCGCAGGGGGGCGGGGCGGAGGGAACGGGCCACGGGCTGTCACATCTCCGTGGCAGCGAGGCAGGCGGAGGGGCCAAGACGGCCCCGCTGCATCCCACGACTGCCCCCGAACGCGGTGAGGACCCTCGCTGCTGCGACAGCACAGGAAACACTCCGGCAGAGCACATCGCCTGGGGGTGCTGGAGCGCACGCCAGACCGTCGAGCCCAGTTCTGGGGGACCCCCAGCGCCCGCCGGAGACTCTCGCTTCGGTCCCAGGCTCATCGCCTGGGGTTCAAGCTTTCTGCTGGGGGATGTGTTGTTCCCTCTGCGCCCGCAGTCCAAGGCTCACATTGCGTCGCTTGATACTTGAGTCGTATGCCATGGTCTGTTTATTCGGGCTCCTGGTGCTGCGCCTGTATTGCTGCCGTGCCGGAAGTAGGTGTTGGGGGCAGCTTGCGGCGTTCACCAGCTCCTTGAGCTTCATGCTGGGTGACATCCCTTGGGGCTCATCCTCGGACCCCGTTCGGTTCTCAAAGTGTGCGCTGGGGGACGTCACTTGAAGGCGCCGAGCGCCCGTCATATTCCCGAGCGGTGATGTGTTATTGAAGCACCCGCCAGGTCCTTGAGCTTTTTGCGGGTGGGAGGGGTATTGGTTGGGATAGGAAGCGGCACCAGGAGCGATTGCTGATGCTGATGCTGATGCTGATGCTGACGCTGATCCTGCTGCTGCTGATGATGATGCTGCTGCTGCTGATGATGATGATGATGATGATGATGATGATGATGATGACGATGATGATGATGATGATGATGATGATGATGATGATGATGATGATGATGATGATGATGATGATGATGATGATGATGATGATGATGATGATGATGATAACGACGAAGCTTGTGACGCTGGTGATGGTGATGGTTGTGGCGGTGTTGGGGGGGGGGCGGCGAAGGAGGAAGAGGAGGAGGCGGATGAGCATGATGATGATGAGGAGGAGGTGGAGGAGGAGCAGGAGGAGTTGGAGGAGTGATGAGGAGGAGGAGGATGGGGATGAAATGGAAGATGGGGGGAGGTGGAGCAGGCGGAGCAGGAGGGGGATCAGGGGCAGGATCAGGATTTTGATGATGAGGACAAGTACGGCAAGGAATATCAGGACCATAGTAGACCTAAGATACATCAGCGATTGCATTCCCAAGCCCCCCCCTCCCCAAGGAGCGCCTCCTCGAACGAGCAGCTCACTGTGGGCCTGAAATTTAGACCTGCCTGGCATTTAGGCGAGAGCATCGTTTTATAAAGGACCCCCCCGAACATTCTTCTAGCGTGCAGATAGACATGCGAGACTTTTTTGGAGAATGGCCGCCTCCCCAACCTCTACAACTGTGGCACAAGCTCGCAGTTCTGGCCATGGATGTCGAGAAAGTCTCAAGTCTCAAGTGATATCTCCAGTTTGAAAAGAATTTACTCTCCATCCGTGCAGCTGCTACACACGCGGACGTTTCTAGTGTTTCATGTCAACGATGTCTCATGCGGGAGGCCCATTTCAAACATGAATCGTCCTCCATCCTCATAATGATTGCACGCGTCTTAGACGAACGTGTGTGGCGCAGAAGCGAGAGCTCAAGTTTAGAAACGCCCCCTTCCATCCGTGTAACTGACGCGAGCTTGAGGACGATAGTGCGCGGTGCTCCGGCGAGGGCTCAGTTTAGACCCTCAGGCGCCGCCCTACCGGCACTTCTTCGGGTGCGGCAGGGGAACGTTGCATATAAGGGAAAGGGTCGATGAGAAGAGGATGGGGATGAGAAGGAAGAGGATTCGGAGGCGGAGGCGGAGGCTGAGGCGGAGGCAGAGGCGGAGGCAGAGGAGGAGGAGGAGGAGGAGGAGGAGGAGGAGGAGGAGGAGGAGGAGAAGGCAAGGCGAGGGAGGGGGGGGAGGAAAGGGCGGGGAGGAGACGGAGTGGAGGCGGAGGCGGAAGTGGAGGCGGTGGCGGAGGAGGAGGAGGAGGCGGCGGCGGCGGATGGTGTGAGGAGGAGGGGGAGGAGGAGGAAGGTGCAGGGACAAGCTATGGGAACTCATGGTGGTTTCGATTCGCAAGAAAGAGTGCAGCCGCTCAATTTGCACAAGTCTGTCAGGTTGATTCTGCGAAACAGGTGGTTCCCCTCGCTGTCAGCACGTGCTCTGGCAAGGAAGCACTGTGTTGAAACCGAGCGTAGCCCTCGGGATTCCACACGCTGCGCTGCTGCACGGCAGCCACGGCAGCCCTGGACACACGTGGTGCCTTTCGGGCACGGCCACCGTGCCCCACGTTTGCCTGCAGCATCTGGGTAGCCAAGAACACACCAGTAGGGGGGGTCTGGGCGGGCAGGGCGCGCTAGCTGGAGGCTTCGCAGGCCCTGGAAACACCGAACGCCAGACAGGGCGATTGTGGTGGATGGCAGCTTTGGGCGTGCCGTGTATCCATTCTTGAATCAGGGGCAGAGGAGATCGAAGGATGGTCGCCAGGCGCCGGAATGATTCAGTTAGCTATTTCGTTATGGATTTAAGTGTTTCGAGACGCGTCCAGTTGTATGACGATTGCATGTGTATTTTTTGCCATTTCTGCAAACTGCACCTTCAACGTTTCTTGTGCACAGCATGTTCTTTAGACTTTCGGGTTGCGGATGTTTTTTTATCATTGGCAATTTTTATTATAGCGCATGCATTCTCTCATTGTGCCTGAAGGAGTGGGAATACACGGACATCATCGACGAAACGTGTCGTAGTTCATTCAAGGATTACGGAGTCAAGTTGGTTGATGGTGACCAGATTAGTCAAGGAGGGCGCAAACGGTAACGCGCGGATCGATCATTGTGATTGGGTCTGTGCTCATGATGCGATGTTGCCACCAGGTGGCACGGCCTTGATTGATGCGCGGTGCTAGTGGGCTTCCTGTCCACAGACCGCGCTTGCTGCGCTTCATGTTGCGTCAGATCACTGCAGGTGCCATGTTGGTTGTTGGGCGCATATTATGTTGTCGTTGTCGCCACAGCTGTACGCACTGTTGCATCTACGGCGTGCATTTAGGAACGATCTGTTTACAACTTTGACCGTCACATGTGATCTTATTTCCAAACGCGCCCTGGGGCAAAACAACATTCAAGTGGCCAGCATTCGAGGCTCCAGGTGTGAGTAACGTTCCGCCGTTCGAGCAGTCGTGGTTTTGCATTTGTGTCATGTGTGATGCTGGTGCTTTGCGCGGGCGCCGTTGACTGTGCCATTTCCGCAGAACTGTTACGGTCGGACCGAGGTATAAGATCGAGGTCGTGTTCTTCGTGTTTGTTGGACGTTCTTGTGCATCCTGGGAATGGTATTCTCGAGAGTTCTCCAGTTTGGCTGGCGGAGGGTCTCACGTTCTTGAAGGACGCTCTTCAGTCCTGGGTCTGGCCGTATCGGCGTCACCCGAACATATTTAAACTATGTGTGCGTCGCCCCCAAAGGGGCGACGCGTGCTCTCAGAGGTCTTATTGTCTATGCTCGGTGGCGGACGCTTTCTGGCCATACCGCTTAGGGAAAGACGTGTACTGGAAGATTGTTGCACAGCGTGATCTGGTCAGAGGCACGCCTCCAAGGAGGACACATCGTGCTGGTATGCCCTCCTCCGTCCCGTGTTGAGCTCGGCTGCCGATGCTCCTCCCGCTCCTCCGGGCGGGCGGCCCGGGAGGGTGCCCCACGCCGTGCCGCCGCGTGCCCCCGCTGTGCGTTCCGCCTCCCTGCCCTCCGCGGCCCCTGTCCGCTCCCTCGGCCGGCAGCTCGAGCATTGGAGTGGCCGCGGTGGCGATGGTCGTGCCAATCGCAGGAGCGAGCGAATCTGCTCATGAGGATTGCGCATCAGATTGACGTCGGTACGATGGCCCTTGTGCCTGCTTCGCGCCTTGGGCTCAGCGCCGGCGACCAGACAGCGGCATACGCTCGTCTACGTCATGCGTATCCAGTTGCCTACAGTCAACCCGCATGGTAAGGCCTGGCAACCTTCTCAAGGGTACCCTTGCATCCTTGCCCCTTCGGCCCATCCCTGGCAACTTCCGTTGGCCAGGCCCGGTCGTAAAACGTCAACATGGGCCTCCAAGGCCCTTGCACCCTCACCGCGCATCCTTATGATTAGGGTTGACTGTATGGCAAGTCCCGCCACCGTGCCAGCTCAGCACTCAGGGTGGCGCCGCTTCGAGCCCCGAAGGTCATCGCATGTGGCACCCCTCCTGTCCATCTCTTGAGGGACTTGCGGAAGAGGCTGTCTAGCCCGCCTTCTGGCCCGCCTTTCTTAGGGCTATCTTGGGCCCTCCTTTCGAAGAAGAAGAAGAAAAAGCAATAACACATAAGCATAAACTGTCGGCGCTCCGCGCGGCGCCGCCCCTGGCGCGCTCCGCGCGCCAGGGAGGAGGTCCAGCGTAAATCCAAGAAATCTGCGCGGACCGTCGAAAGTTCACGATTACGTGTTTTTTTCTTCCTCTATTTTGGGGACCTCTTGAGGCACACGCTTGGTGCTTTCTTGGGCCGTCTGGGCCCTCCTCGGCCGCCTGGGAGTCTCTTGGGGCTGTCTTGGCGGCAGGGGGCCGTCTTAGGCTATCGTGGGGCTCTCTTGAGCTATCCCTTGGGGCGTCTTGATGTTCTCTTGGGCCGTTTTGAGCGCTTCTGGAGGCCAGCATTGGGCTATTGTGGCGTTTCTCTTTGGCCCCTCCGAAGCACATACGTTTTAGAACTGCGCGCAGGTGCCGCACATCCGCTTACACGAGGAACACGAGTCAAGCCCATGTAAGCCGCCAGCTATCTCCAACCTCCTCGACGCGTGGCAGTTCCCACAATATGCGTCTACCCCCCTCCCCCTCTAGTGCCTATTAAACCCTCTCTCTCCCTCCCCCCTCTCTCTCTCTTCTTGTCAGGGCTGTCGACGGCTCGGGCTATACGATGATTCGGGCCGGCTTCTGCGCGTGGTATCGATCGATTCGCCGGCGCACATCATGGGGCGACTCCCCTCCTCACTGGACGGGTGTCGGTTCGATTGTTCGATCGACGTACGTTTGAAGCAACAACAATGTGTCTCCAATCTCTCTCTCTCTCTCGCTCTCTTTTTGTCGCGCTCTCTCGTTCTCCCTCTCCCTCCTCTCCCTCTCCCACTCCTCCCTCTCCCTCTCCGTCTCCCTCTTCCTTCTCGTTTGTTTTGTTATTCTCGCTCTCTCTCTCTCTCTCTCCCTCTTTCTCTCTATGTGTTGCTCTCGCTGTGTGTGTATGTGTATGTGTATGTGTATGTGTATGTGCATGTGCATGTGTATGTGTATGTGTATGTGTATGTGTATGTGTATGTGTATGTGTATGTGTATGTGTGCGTGTATAGGTGTATGTGTATGTCTAGGTTATGTGTATGCACTTGTTTGCTTGTATGTATGTATGCATTCATGCATGCATGGATGTAGGGACGTATGCATGTATGGATGCATGCATGCATGTATGTATGTGTGCAGGTAGGCAGGTCGGTCGGCCGGTCGGTAGGTAGGTAGGTAGGTCTACAGGTATGTAGGTATGTATGCATGCACGCACGCCTGCAGGTATGTATGTTTGTATGTTTGTATGTTTGTATGCAGGCGTGCACGCATGCATGCAATCATCTATGTATCCGCCGAGGGTTCGCTTGGTGCCCGCCCGAGGGCGCCCCGTGGGAGCCCCGCGGGCGCTCGCGGGCGCCCCGTGCCCTGGGCGGGTCCTCCTCCATTCCTCCTCCTCCTCCATTCCTCCTCCATTCCTCCTCCATTCCTCCTCCTCCTCCTCCATTCCTCCTCCTCCTCCATTCCTCCTCCTCCTCCATTCCTCCTCCTCCTCCTCCTCCATTCCTCCTCCTCCATTCCTCCTCCATTCCTCCTCCTCCTCCTCCTCCTCCATTCCTCCTCCAACGCGCTCCTTCTCCTGGTGCCCGCTCGCGAGCGCCCCGTGGGAGCCCCGCGGGCGTTCGCGGGCGCCCCGTCAGGGCCGCCTACAGTTCGGTGCGGCTCGCTTCGACCCGCCAGCTAGGGCCGCGATTCCGATTCGATTCGATTCGGCCTGTTTCGGCAGCATCGAGCGGTGCCAGCGGGAAACCTTGCGCGGTGATCCGATTTCGATCCGATTCGGGACGATTCGCTGGCGATGCGACCCGTTTCCGATCCGATCCGGCTTAGCGATTCGATCCAGCGCGGGCCTGCCCGTGCTCTGGGTGGGTCCGCCTAGGGTTAGCTTGGTGCCCAACCGTGAGCGCTTCGCGGGCACCCCGAGCTCTGGGTGGGCAACACAGCGTGCACGGCATAGCTCACGCCGCATGCCTTACACCGTGAGGGCTGCGCACAACGCAGCCCGCCACACCGCATCTTGAGCACGGTACAGATCTTGCCACATAGCTTACACGACACAGTGCGTAGATCTTGCCACATAGCTTGCACGACACAGCCCGCACAACATAGCTCACACCGCTTCGCTTACCCAACATAGCTAACCCCACATAGCTTGCTCTGCACGGCTTCCGCCTCCACAGTGGCTATGTATACATATATATATATATATACACACTCATGCATGCAGCGTCTCTCTCTCTCTCTCTATCGCCCTCTCTCGGTCTGTCTTTCTCTGGTTCCCTGTCTCTGTCTCTATACCCCCCGTTCTTTTCCACCGCCGAATGTCATACATCCAAACGCTTCGACGGCTCGTTCCATCCGACCTCGCTCAGCGCACCGCACAGAGTGGTCGCAGCCTCGAAAGAGGGCTCAGAGACCCGCGGCTCGCTCAGCCCGCCGAGGCGAGAACGCCCTGTCCGGGCCTGGCATCAAGCACGAGCAAGTGGAGCCTGGCGCCGGGGCCATCCACATGGGAGGCGATCGGCGCAACAGTGCGGGAGGAGCTGGAGGAGAAGCAAGAGGGGGAGAAGCTGTGGGGCGATGCGAACATGTTGGACCCGGGATGGGATGGGCCCTTGTCGCCTTCTCTTCGGTGGGAATGAGGGGAAGGATTGAGCTCTGGGGCGAGGTGAGTGTGCTGCACTCTGCAGGGGCCGTTTTCGGTCCTTCGCCGATGCGCTCGAGGAGTAAATTCATGCCAGCCGCACTGTGTTGAAACGTGTTTTGGTCGTTGCTTGTTTCCCCGACGGAAGCGGAGGATGAGGATGAGGAGGAGGGGAGCTAGGATGATGCTGCTGCTGTTCACGAGGACAGTCACGGTGATGACGACGACGGCGGCGACGACGACCGTGGTGATGCTGCTGCTGCTGATGATGATGATGATGATGATGTTGATGATGCTGATGATGATGATGATGATGATGCTGATGATGATGATGATGATGATGATGATGATGATGATGATGATGATGATGATGATTATGATTATGATGGTGATGCTGATGCTGATGCTGATGGTGATGATGCTGCTGCTGATGATGGTGGTGATGATGCTGATGGTGTTGATGATGATGATGCTGGTGATGATGATGCTGCTGCTGCTGCTGCTGATGATGATGATGATGATGATGATGATGATGATGAGCTTCAATGCCCACGCAGCCACGAGAGAACGAGCAAGCTTCTGCACAACATTGCGGCCTGGGCCTCGACTGAGTCGAGCCTCTGCCTGCTGCAGCCCTCAGAGGTGTTGCGGGCCTGGCCGCGCTCGCCGCCGCCGCCCTCGTCGTGGGGGAAGTCGTCGTCGCGCAGCCGACGCCGTCGCCGCCGGGGCCGTCGTCGTCGTCGTCGCCGCCGTCGTTGTCGTT